GGAATAGACAACTGAGTCTATTACTGAGGATGTCCCTATGAAGGTACGTATGGAACAAGAGGACAAAACTAAAGTACAGTAGCAAAAGCAGTGCTACTTAAGATAGGCAACGCGAATAGAGTTTAATAAGTATGAAACACTGAGTTGGATCAGTGATATACACAAAACAGGTTTCACTGGGTTGTATCAGTGATAGGGATGAAACATGATAGATGTGAAATGTGATGTAAGTAAAACATGATATAGGTGAAACGTGATAGATATGAAACGCTTGATGTAGGTGAAATGCATCAAGTGATGGGATCAGTTGTATAGTACAGGGTCAACGACAAATAGTTAGGAAAAGAAAAAGGACCCCCCCTCTTACGCTGTAACACAAAGTCCTCATTGTCGTCGTTGATGTCACCTGGTTGCTATGGTCTCCTCAAGAGACTGTCAGGTCTGTGCATTGTTCCAGGAATGTGGACAAGTGTGAAATGAAATGTCAAATGGAAACAATCCACCAATTAAAACTTGCACTGGGCGCAATATTAGGATTTGCAAGCATACCCTTGATATACCTTGCATTGACCTCAATCATCAAATTCTGAACACCAATCAAATACAAACAAAGTGTTTGGAGTGCTGATAGGCCCACGTAGTGCATGAGCACGCCTCGAGTTGAACTCAGCATTCGAAGCATTTGAATCTTCCACCTTCGGGGACGCCTGCAATACCTCGACACAAAATCGCCTTCGAGCAAAGCTCACCCTTCAATATCTTCAAAGTTTTGCGATCTCACAACAATCCGATCGGGATCTTTTGGTGGCAGCTTTATTCCGGGGGCTTGACTTTGAAGACAAAACCCCATCACCTGGAGATTGAGACATATGATACAGGGCTATCAGGTAAACCTTTAGGTTGGTGCGCTTGGGTTGCAATGCCAAGACTTGCAACAGTCAGGCCTCCGAGACTAGCAGGTGTAGTGTGTGGGATGGGAATCAAAACTGGTGGAGGCATCGGACGGGAGTCGGAAGGATATTGAGATTGTTTGGCATGGTCAGGGCAGTGTAGGTGGTGACTCGGGAGGTTTGGCAGGATGAGGGATATTTAAGAGCGGTTTTGCATGGTTGTAAGGCAGTACTCGGCCCCTAGTAGCGAGACTTGCACAGAATCACATCCTCCACTCAGCAGAGCTCAGTCCGGCTTCAAACTTCTTCGAAGTGTTGCATCTCCCTATGAACTATGCCTACGATCCTCCAAACTACGTCTGCAACCTTCGAACTACACTTACAATCTTTGAACCTTGTTCCCTACCAGTACACCCCCTTCAAGACACACCTACGTGTACAGCTAAGTACTCTAAAGTTCCGTTCTTGCGCCCAACCTTCGAATGAGATCCATGTGTCCACACTCAAATAGCACTTTGCATTCGAGTCGTCAAGCTAGTTCCCCTCTTACCTTCCCTCCGCTTCTACGAGAAGTTGGAGTGTTTGGACAGTCCAAAACAGTCTTGTGACACCGTCCTGAGAAAACATAGTGAAGTTGTCGCCGTTCGAGCAAGCTATCACAACTACAAGCCCTCACCCCCATCAGCTTCCCCAAGAAACAGAAACTCACCCCTTTACTTTGTACCCCCAAGTTAGGGTCAGGTTTCCCGAGGTCGCATCAGCGCTCAAAAGAGTCCATAAATCTTGAGCTTTGGTTGCGAGAATTGTCGTTCCTGATTGTTAAGAGTGATTGACCCAAATCGGCTATAATATTGAACTTGGGTGTTGACTTCATCAGTTTGGTAAAGGTGATATCCAACAGTGATATACAACGTGTCAACAGCCATAATAACAGGGACTGTGGAATCGTAGTCAATTGCGCACAACACTGGTGACTAAAGTAACACATCCTTGAGATCCTGCTGTGAAGCCAATTGCTTGGGACCAAGCTTGAAGTCCACGTCCTTTTGCACTAGTCAAACAAGGGGTTTTACACAATGCACAAAGTTACAAATGAATATACGTATGACTCCAATGGTACCAAGAAATGCTCAAACATCAGAGAGTATCTTGCAGGGTCCCCATTTTCAGATGACTGCAACTTGAGACTCATCGGGTAGCCGTCTCTCTAGAATGCATTGGTGTCTAGCCACCATGATTTCTTGGGCAATAAGGACACTCTTTGGTCCAGAGAAAGTGTTACAGTGTCAGAGGGGAGGGGTTCTTTTTTTCTTTTCCTAACTATTTGTTGTTGACCCTGTACTATACAACTGATCCCATCGCTTGATGTGTTTCACCTACATCAGTGTTTTATATCTATCGCATTTTGTTAAGGGACCTAACGACTGAGGATCAGGAGTTCAGCTGTTTAACTGGCACTGGGACTTATACACGCTATAGTCCTTACTGAGACTAGACTGCAAACTGAGCCGCTATATCTGATAGTAGTTTGAGAACGTATACTGGTTGAAGCAAGCTCAGACTAAGACTTGAATCGACAACTGTGGAGAATATTACTGGGGACTGTCCCTATGAAGTGTACGTAGGGAACAAGAGGACAAAATTAAG